AACCCTGCCAAAACACAGCTTCCCGCTACCTGCGTGTGTCCTCCTTGAGGAGAGGGATGAGGAAGGGCAGCCCACCCATGCCCTAAGCCAGACATGTTTAATGCAGAAGCCAAAAGTGCTCAAACAGTGGCAATTTCAGATGTCAGAAGGAAGGAGCTACTGGAAATGGAGTATAAGCAGGTGAAAATGATGCCTGCTTTGTGAATGCAGAATTCAGGGCACCTACTTTGGGCTGCAGTGAGTCATACAAAGGATTGTAGGAGAGAAGCAATCAGCCCCAAAGTGTTTAATTTCTGAAGTGGATGTAACTTTTTAGAACCAGGATTTTATTTTCCTCCCAGTCAATTATCAGACACACTGATTTCACTGTGATACCCTTTTGAACACTTCAGAAAGAAGCAAAGAAGGCTCCAGTATCAAATTAACCATGATTTTGCAGAGAGAATGAAGTTACCAACGTTCATTAGATTAACACAATATAACAAAGCTCACCTGATTTTCTTATGAGAAGTTTGGAAGAGCAATCAGATTTTAAGGCAAATGTCAACTTAAACAGAAAAGAAACCCCTGAGGATGAAAATGACTCAGAGTGATGCAGGGAGTGCAAGTTTGGGAATGATCTTGTGCATGAGGGGAGAATATGTGACCTTCTCCTGGCTGACTGTCACGTAGGAATTAATAGGGACTATTGGCAAATTCATAATAGTAGGAATAAAGGCCAACAGCACATGGGTGAGAGACATCAGGAAATCTCATTGCTGCCTGCATTAACTGGGCAGGGAATGTTACAAACAGTTATGATGAATAATGTGATCTTTAAAAAAGGCAGAATGCCTTTTTCTTTCAGCTTCACCATTCTTTACCAGGTGGTGGTGAATTACTGATGTGATTAAGGGAAGGAAGGGGAGGAGATTGTTAAATAAGAAAGAAAAGGTGTTAAAAGATACATACATGCACCTGGAGTTAAGCTGAGTTTGCCTGTAATAAACTTGAAGGCTGATGTGCAAAATGTGCTTGAATTGTGGCTGGGCGGGCAGAATTTGATTCCTCGTTTACACTTGGGCAGCTCAGGATTGGCTCTGAGCTGACTTTATCCCTGTGCACCACTTGATTCAGGAAGAACCTGGTAGGTTTGGAGTTCATTTGTACTCAAAGCACCTCTTAATTCAGGCAGGGCAGGGTGTGGTGCTTGTGGTGGGGCAGGGGTGGTTGAGTTGCTGTAGGGTTCCATCACTGCATCACCTGCAGACCTTCAGCACCTGCAGCAGGAACAGGGTGTTGTGGGTGCAAAGGCTCCCAGATCCTCTGAGCACCCAAATGCTGGAGGAGCTGCCGGGGGTGATGCTGGGTTCCTGTGGCTTTGGAGTATGTGGATGTCACCCTGAACTGCTCCTGAGTTTGTCCCCTCGAGCTCTGAGGTACGTGGTGGGCGTTGCAGGGAGCTTGGCTGGGTGGGAGTTCCCCTGGGAGGGGAGATGAGATGAGCTCTGGGCAGTGTTTGGTGGAACTGCAGCTTTGTTGGGCTGCACTGGCGTTGGCTTGGGTCAGATTTGCTTTCTGGTCTGCATTGTGGTGGGTGGCAGGGGCTTTCCTGCCCTGCAGCCTGAGGTTTCTGTGTCTGGTCTGGAAATGATGGCATTGTGAAGCTTTTCTGTAAAGCTGCCTGTGAGTCAGAACTGGGCTCAGTTTGGGTTTGTCTTCCTTGCTGTTCCGCTCCCTGCTCTCACAGCCAGAGTCCTGCCTCTCCCAGGAGATGTTCCTGTGCCTTTTCTCAGCTCTCTCCTGGCTCTGTGTCCTTCACCTGCAGAAGGAACCCACCTCCTCCTCTCCTCTGCAACTGGAGCATCTTGAGTTCACACTTCAGAGCTTTGGATGAGGAAAAAGCAAGGAGGTCACCTTGGGACAAGAGTCACAGTTAAACACCCACTTCCAGGGTCTGGGTCAGACACAAAACACAGCTCCATAACTGAGCAGGGTAGAAAGCAACAGAACCTCCTCTTTACAACTTGCTTTCTCCATAAACCTGGGAGGAGGGCAGGAAAAGCACCTGTGTTCTGGGCTTTCCTTTCTGAGATTGTTTTGTCTGGTGTTCAGATGAAGCCATGAAATATCTCGGCTAGAAACAGTTCTGATTTCACTGAATTTGTGTGTTGGCATGTTCAGCAGAGCAGCTTTTGTTCTCTGTCTGTTCCAAGGGTGGTGGTCCTGGTTAAAGCTGTGTCAGGAGGGGAGGAAGGTGGACCTTGAGCTGGGTGAAAGCCCAGAAGGGGTTTGAGAGCCAGGACTGCATTTGGTCCTGGCAAACCCACTGCACTATCTGGTCTGTGTGTGTTGAATCCAGAGCCTGACAACCCAACCACCAGCAGCCTGGCTGTTGGACTTTGTACCCTGGGAGAAGTCAGTGGAGCAGAACTCGTGCAATACTCCAAAGGTTTCCTTCATGGCACTGGTGCTGCTCCTCCTCAGCTGTGCCATTTTTATTGCTTCATCAGCCCAGCACAGCCTGTCCCACCCCTGAGGCCTTGCCAGGATCGTGCCTGCCTGGCACTGCCCTCTAGAAACAAGTAGTTTCCAGCCTGGTCAAGGGCTGCTGTAAGTACAGGACCAGTGCTGGTGGGTTCTGCTGTAGGACAACAGGTCTTATCTCAGTCCCTGGAGGTGAGGTTGGGCCTTCAGTGACTTTTGAGGCTGCTGAGATCCTCACGTGGCAAGTGCTGTGCTCTCTGAGAGCCTGTGGTGTCTTCCCTAAACTGATCTATCTCAAAGCTTGCCTTGCTTGACTCTGCCATGAGATCCCCCTGGAAGTGACAGCTCCAGCCCTCTCCTTCCCTCTGCTTTTTCTTTCCCAGCCAGACACGGCACAGCCATTCCCCCTTCCCGGAGAGGAGGTTTCCTCAGGGCTCTGCCCTGCTCTCTCCTTCCATCCTCGTGACACAAGCCGGACCCTGTCGCTGTGTTACAGGCTTGTCTCAGTCCTCCTGCTCCTTCCAGATGTGAAATGGCACATTTAAATATTGCAATTACAAACGTGTAACGAAGCCTTGTACTTCATTAATGTAAGAGGAGGAATCTGCTATGGCTACAAGGACAATTAAATATTAGAGAATGTCTTTGATTCACATTCCTGCTGTGTAAATGGGAGGAAGGTTGCTGTATGCTCCTTGCCTTTGCGCTCACAAAATGAAAAGCACACCCACTGCAAGTTGTCCTTTGATAGATTTTTAATATGATTTTAAAGAGTTTTGTTTGGCCTCATTCTTATTCAATGAGATTAATTTAAAGCACTTATCCCCTGGGTTTAAGTCAATCCATGTAGGATTTGGGACGGGGGGTTGTTGCCCGGGGAGGGGGTTGTTTGCAGGCCTCTCTGAAAGACTCCTTTCCCACTTCATTAACCCTGAGCTGGGAGCGACCCCCCCCTTCCTCCTCCTCCTCCTCCTCCTCGCCCAGCCGAGGCCCGGGGATTTACCAAACTCCCCCATTCACATGCAAAGGACCAGCACCGTCCACAAAGGCCGGGGGCTCTCTCCCCCAGGCGTGGCTGTGCATTTGGCCGAGCCGACAATCCCCCTCCCCGCGGGGCTCGGGGGGTGCTGGGGCAAAGCCCCCGGGACGGAGCAGGGCCGGGGGCACCGGGCTGGGACCCGGCCCCGGGGAGGGCGATCTGTAGGGCCGGTGGGTGCCGGGGTGTGTGTGGGGGGGATGCTCCGCAGACAGGAGGGCCGGGGGGAGCGGCCGGGGGGAACCCGCAGCCCATCTGTCGGCTCCCCGAGCCGAGGAGCCGCTGCCCGGCTGTCCCGGGGACCAGCTGCCGGGCCCGCTGGCCGCGGCCAGATGAGCGACACTTTTAAAGGGTGGAAACAATCCATTTTGCAAAGCGATCATTTAAAGCACTTAGGCAATTATACACTTAAGATTAGCGTTATTAATTCGCTATCGCCGCGCCGGGCAGCAGCGCCCCGGTGCCCCCCGACGGCCCCGCGGCCGGTCCCGCATACCGGCACTGGGGACACCGGGGGGACACCGGGACCCGGGGAGGGGGGCGATCCCTGCCGTGGGAGGTGGGAAAACTCCTCTTTGCTCTTCCCTTTCCCCTCGGCGGCGGCTGCTCCGCCAGAGCAAACAAGCGGGAGGGGAAGAAGGGGCCGGCGGAGGCGAGACCCGTTTGTTTGTAAAGAAGTTTTATTTCCACATTTAAAAAAGGGGGGAGCGGGAGCGGCCGCGGCGCCCCGAGCCCCCCGCGTCCCCCGCCCGGCCGGGCCGGCCCCGGGATACAGACTGACAAGAATCACTTACACAAATACGCCCTCAGGGTTCACAAATAAATAATTCATATACATTTTGCACCGTATTTACATTCCACCGCGCTTTTCCCCCTCTTTTTTCTTTTCTCTTTTTTCTTTTTTTTTCCTTTTTTTTTTCTTTTCTTTTTTTTTTTTTTTAATTTTAAGTTACGGACGTCCCAAAGCCTCGCTAGGACCGTCCTCCCCACGGTCCGGGCCCTCCCCACGGTCCTTCCCGGATGGTGCCCCGGGGTCGGGGAGCCGGAGAAAGCGGGGACGGGTCTCCCCGGAGCCGTCCGTGGCAGGTGTAGCTCGGCCCCCCCGACAGTTCCTGGGGAGGGGGCGGAGAGGCAAAGCCCCCCCGGAGCATCCGCCCCCACCCCCCGTGCTCCAGGCGCCGTCCCACGCCGGGGTGGGGGGACCCACAGCGGCCCCGCTGCCCTTCGGGGGGCACAAGGGGGTAAAAGGGCGGCGAGTGCCCCGCGGGGTTGGGGGGCAGCTCCGCCGGCTCCGTCCCGCCAAGCCTGCCCTTGCTTCTTGCGTTCTTCATATATATTTTTAAAAAGGAAGGGGAGGTCTCATTTATATTTATATATATATATATATATTCGGGGATGAGCGGGAGTCTGTCGCTTGCTCGCGGCCCCAGAGGTGGGGTGGCCCCCTCCAGTCCCCCGGCCCGGTGGGTGCCGGGGGGGTCTCCCGGGCGGCCGGGGCTCACCGGGGCTGTGCAGCCCGGGGCAGGACGCCGGGCAGCGGGGGCAGGGGCGGCGGGGGCTCGCTGCCGCCCTGCAGTCCGTGGATGAGGATGCGGGGCACCAAGGGTCTCTGTAGGGCGGGGGGCGGCGCGCTGGGTCCGCGGTACAGGTAGAGGGCGGCGCCGGGGTCCAGGTTGGAGACCAAACTCTGCGGGTAGAAGTAGGGCGAGGGGAACATCCTCTGGAGGGCCGAGTAGTTACCGGCCTCGGCCAGCAGCTCCAGGCCCACCGCCGTCTGCCGTTTCCACTTGGTCCTGGTGGGGGACAAGTCGAGAGAGGGGGTCAAGGAGGGAGGGATGCTCCCAAAGCAGCTCCTGGGCTCTTTTCACCCTTTGCGTGCCCCCTTTCCCCGGGCTCTGCTCTCCTTGCACATCCCCGCTCCCACCGCTGGCTCCCAGGGCCAGACTCCCTTGTACGGAAGGGATGGGATGTGGATCCCAATAATGGGAGTAGGGGGCTTATCTCCCTGGTGTTCCCATCGCGGCAGCCCGGCGGGAGCGCCGACGGAGCCTTCCCGGAGCCACAGCCCGGCCGGGGGTGTAAGTTCCAGACTGTCACACGGCCCGCCGGGGATCCTCTCCCCTCAGCCCCGCGGGTGCTGCGGCCGCCGCGATGCTCCGGCCCGATCCGCCGCCCGGGGCTCCGGGACCCCTTCCCCGGGTCGGGGCCGGGACGGACCCCTCGGGGGGCTGCGAGGGTCCCGCGGGGGGATTCGAGTGGGGAAGCGTCCCGGGGCATTCGTTTGGGGCATATTTATGTGTGTCTGTCTATACCTACAGATATACATATACACACACAGGTATATATTTAATATATGCATACATAAGTACATAGGGGTATGTGTGTGTGTATATATATATATGTATACATATATATATATTTATATGTGTGTGTGTGTGTGAGTGAGTGAGTGCCGGATCTCGTGGAGAAGCCCCGGCCCCGGGATCTCGCCCACGTCGGGGCCGCCGGCGGGCCGGGCTGGCGGGGGAAGGGGCTGGGGGTACCGGCTCGGCTCCGGCGCGTCCTCGCGGCAGGGATTTGGGGGGCAGAGAGGTGATCACACAGCCCCCAGCGCCCCCAGACACCCTCAATTAAGCGGCATGGGGGGATCTTCGCAGAGGGCGAAGCGGGACTGGAAACGAGGGGGAGGGAGGGTCAAACCCTGGGGTGAGCGGGGGGACAGGGTGGGGGCTGCAACCGGGGGTCCCTCGTTTGTGGCAATGGTCGGGGCTCGGGTTGTCCCGATAAACCCACTGAAGCCACCAGACGTCTCCAACCCTTTTACAGATTTGTCGCTGAAGCGCCAAACCTATTTCCACCAGTAAATTATTCATCATAATAATAATTGTGTAATTACTGTAAAGGGTGTTAATTATTGATGCCCAAAGCAGTAATTGGTATCTATTATTAATGGGCCGATGTGTTATGCTGTTGTGTTTAGCTGGAAGCCCGGTCCTGCCTCCCCGCCTTGCCGGGGCTGGGGGCACGGATTGCCCCCCACCCCCCGCCCTGCCCCGACATCGCTTTTCTCCCCTTGACTTTGGGGTAAAAGTCCCCGGGGGAGGCGGGGACGGGACGGACGTGGCACCTCTCCTGGTGGCAGGAGGAACGGGGCGGTTTTGGGTTGCCAGAGCCCTGCCCGGTTTGTGGGTGCGGGGCCGGGGAGAAGGGGCAGGGTGGGATCCCGGCGCTGCGGGCAGGAGGGAACGGTGCATTTTTACCTTCTGTTCTGGTACCACGTTTTCACCTGCGTGTCGGTGAGGTTGAGGGAGGCGGCTAGTTCCATCCTGTCCTGCACGCTCAGGTATTTTTGCCTCTCGAAGCTGCGCTCCAGCTGGGCCAGCTGATGGTCGGTGAAGGCGGTGCGGGCTTTGCGAGGCTTTTTCAGCCGCACCGGGGGGCTGTCCCGGGAGCTGGAGATCTCTCGGTCCCCTTCTTCTTTCACTGAGCCGAGAGGGAGGGAGAGAGGCCAGGTCAGGGCAGAAATGGAAATACCCTCAAAAGAAGGGGGTAACCCCCTGCAGCCGTGAGCCGGGGGCTCGGGGTCGAGTGGGGCTCACGGCTCATTTGCTCTGCAACCCCAAAAATTTTAACCTTGGGGTCTACCCGAACCGGGCCCGGCCTTTCCCCTTGCTGAGGGCCTGGGAGCGGCACCGGAGCGCCGGGATGTGCCGAGGGGACCCCCGGCCCGGCCCCGCCGCGCTCCTGCCCAAACACCCCCTTATCCCCTTCACTCCTCATTTCTCACTGGGCAGGGCCCTCCTCTGAGTTTATTCCCCCAAACCAAACAGATTTCTCGATGCTTGGATAATTTTTCTTTCCTTTTTTTTTTTTTTTTTTTTCTCTCTCTCTCTCTTTTTTTCTCCCTTTTTTAAACCGTAAACAAAACCAACGAAAACTGAAAAAATTTAAGCCCACATTTTTTTTGGAGGGGAATGTTGCCGGGTTAGTCCTGCTTTCTCCCCTCCACGGAGAAACCTCCATCCTCCCGGGGCACGGAACAAACCTCCCTTCTTCAGGGCGCACAACGAAATACTGGGGAAGGGGCTCTGCCAGCCCCTGCCCAGGCTGTTATTTATCTTAAAAAATGCCGAATGAGAGGGGCTGGCGGTGGTTCATCGGTGCCATCGGTACCTACACGCCGGCGGAGCGACGCGGGAATTTATGCCTCAAAATGTTAGTAGATGATGGAAAAATAACTGAGCAGAAATAAAAAGAAAAGGGGAAAAATAAATCCCTGTTTATGCTCGCCTTCCCCACCCTCCTGGAGCAGATTATGGACCAAAAAGGCCCGGTTTATACAAATCGGCGGCGTTTGGTTGTTAGTTTTGTGTTTGGGTTTTTTTCTTTTTTTTTTCAGAGGGGTTTATGTTAAATTTGCTGGTGGCAGGGGTGAGCGGGGAGAGGGCTCCAGCCGAACGCGAGCTGATTTCTCTCTGTAGGAAGACAATAATCCGGTTAATTGAGCCACCGGGGAGCGAAACCCTTCAACCAGAAATCCCGGCTCTGGCCGAGCAGGCAGAGCCCGAGCCGGGGACGAGCCTTAAGCGGGAAGATCCCGGCCCCAGATCCTGGGAAAGCGGCAGGGCCGGGACCGGGCAGGGGAGGAGGGACGACCCCGCTCCCTCCCGGGAACGACCCCAAAGTTTGTGTGGAGTTTTTCGGAGGAGTAGAGCGGGTGAGGCCTCGAGCATCCCAAGACCGCAAATCGCCCCCGGGCTGATTCTCGGCTCCTAAAAAAGTTCCTGCTCTCCAAAGGGCTGCAGGACCGGTGGCGGCGGCTTCCCCACCCCTTTCGAATCTTTCCTTGACTATTCGTAGCTTTAAAAAAAAAAAAAAAAAAATTATACCTATATATATAAATATATATTATGGATTTTTTTTTGGCATTTTGGCCGCTCCAGGTTAGGCCTGGCCCAGCAGCTCCTTCACGGAGTAAATCAGGGGCGTTTTGACCCGGGAAAGGCTATTTCCAAAGCAGCCAAAAAAAAAAAAGAATCGTGCTGGAAACGAAGACCTTCACCCGCTCCCCCATTAATGCAGGGATTTTACCCTGATTTA